CCTCGATCAGTTCCGTGGCGCCAGCACAGATCCAGAGTGGCAGCCAGAGCATCTCCCCCTGCCATGGACCACGAGTGGGGACCCCACTCCATGCAGGGACAGCCCCCTTAAGCAGCACCTTCCAGTGCCCCTCCTCAGACACCATGGTAGGGGTGACACTCTGGATTAATCTCCTGGAGGCATTTGCTGCTGTTATACAGGGGTGGGATCAGGAAAAGGGAGGCAGAGGGGGCCAGGTGTGCCCTCCTTACCTAGGTGGGTTTGGTTCATTTCTCACCACTGCTTGTGTGGCAGAATGCAGGGGGTACAACACTCCTGAGAGATTACTTTTGCTACAAAATCCTTCCTTGCATGTGCAGTGCCTGGGGCAGGGGCCGCCTTCAAGGACAAAGTCACACACTCGGGCCTGCTGCCAAAAAGCTGCTAATCCCCTGCCAGGGGCCTGGCATCCCCATGGGCACAGATCCCGGCCCGGCTGCCTCCCCCACTGGCACAGGAAAGGTCACTGTGCTGAAATAGCCTCCCCCTCCCTAAACCTTATGGCTCCTCTGATGGGAGCCACATCATCTCCTCATAGGAAAGCAAGGGAGAAGGGGCTATGCAGCTTTGGAAAGAGATGAAAGGAGGACTGGGGAGACAAACAGAGCATAGAAAGCCCTTGGGCAGGTCTAGGAAGCCCTGCAACTCTCCATGGCTGGCCCTAAACAGCCAGTTCTTCCCCACTGCCACCAAATTTGTGCCTTTGCCAGCACAGTCTGACACACCTGCCCATCACTGTCCTTGGACGACATCATGGCTGACCAGATCTGGAAAGAATACTTCATCTTGTGGATTGCCACGTGCTTAACTTGGACCCCCAGCTCACCTTCGAGGTGCTCCACCACCTAAGGGGAAGAGTAGGAACGGTTTGTTTCTGCAGGGATGCGATGTGCTGAGGTTGGTCCATGGAAAGGGGACAGAAAAGAGCCCAGGAGCAGCTTCTCTCTGCTGCCATGCAGGATATCCCATAAGGATGCCCTAAGCAGCAGGACCTCTTCAATCCACTGACAACCCCAGAGCCATGCAAGGAGCCCCCCACGCCAACCCCGTGATACTCCAGAGGAGCATCGAGAGCAGAACAATCATCACAGAAGTTTTCATTGAAGAACTAAAAAGTTCCTTTCCTAGGGCAAAAGCTTTGGACACCCCAGTGCACTCCAACACATGGGTGCTGCTGCCAAGGCCATCAGCAGACACTCATGAGATTCTCCCCATTTCTTAACACAGAAGATAACAAACATCCTTCCTCTTTTTTTCTGCTGGAAGCACAGAGGCAGGACTCCAGGCCACCTCTGTGGCTCTGCAGCCCTACATCCCACCAGCACAAAGCAGCTTGCCTTGGACCTCTCCACAGGTTCTATCTCCAAGCTCACCCTAGTGAGAGCCAACCTCTGTTCCTACCTTCTTTTGGGCCTGCAAGATCTCCTTGTCCACAGGTGACACAAAAATGGACCCACCATCATGATCCATGCAGAGAAATTTTATTTTGTCCAGCGACACCTTTTCATTCAACTTCAGCCTGAGGAAAGGAATGGTACTTTGCTCAGAACTATGTCCCTGGCTCCTCCTTGGCTGTCAGAGATGCTCACACACCCTCAGGACATCCAGCATGTCCTCAGAGCACTCTGCTCTACCCACCAGGAAAGGACAGAGTCCCTGCCAATATACAGACACCTGCGGCCCACAACCCACCCAGCTGCTTGCCTGACCCATCATTCCCAGTTATTTCTGAGGGTTAGTTGCTGTTGGGAAAACCCTCATCTTTTGATGTGCCTCATAATTACAGACCTTGCCTGTGGCTGAGGTTGGGATTGCACCACAGAGCCATGGAGAAACAGAAGCAGTAATGGGGAAAGTGACCACGTGTGGGTGGCAGCCAGAGCCCCCCTGCTCTGCGAGGGGGTACACGAATGGCTGGTTGGGGACATGGACCCGCAAACAGACCAACCGGGGCTGTGGTGGGGGATGGAAATGTCATCAACCAGCAACAGGAAAGCACATGTCACAGCAGAACAGGCTGTGCTGCAGCAGCTCAGAGAGGAGCTGGCTGACCAGGGCAGCCTGTCCCCAGCACAGCACGGGGGGAAGAACAGACCTGGCCGCACATCCTGCTGGAGCCAGGGAGCAGGAAGGAAGCCAGGAACAAGCAGTCTGGGTGGAGCAGCCCTGTCCGGCACAGTGAACGGGACTGTGGCCAGGAAGTAGCCAAGACTAATTCAGCAGCTCTAAGCAGCAGGAGAAACTTACTTATTGACCCCAGGGCCAGCCATGACCCTCAGCACAGGCTCCAGGTCCTCAGCGTAGCGGCACATGGGCCCGGTGCACAGGAAGCTGGTCCGCACCCCGTGGGCATTGGGGAACTGGCCGTCGTTGGGCACCACCCCTGCAGGCAAGGGAGACATGTTTGCCACCCTCCAGCACGAGGGTGACAGGGTGCACAGCGCGGGAGAGGGAGGAAAAATCACAGAGCAGGAACACCAGCTGCCAGGGAAGCACCACAGCAGCAGATCCAGACCTTGGGAAAACATCCCATGCCAAGGATGCAATACCAAGCCCATGCTCAGCCACAGGCTTGTCCTGTGCAAGAAGTTGCGGGTTCCCTCACAGCCATCCCACTGGAGACATGCCCAGGAGCATCCCCAGACAGGCTCCCCTCACACCCTGTGTTCTACCTCCTGGCTTTTCTGCTGTGGAGGAGGAGAAATCCCCACACCCACTCTACCTGTGGTGGGTTTGTGGCCAAAGACCCCGTTGAAGAAGGCCGGCATCCGGATGCTGCCGCCGATGTCGGAGCCCACGCCTATGACGGAGCAGGCAGCTGCCAGGACGCTGCCCTCCCCGCCTGCCAGGGAGAAAACACAGGACTGCAGTGCCCACCACCCAACAAAGCAGGAGCATCCCATAGCGGCCACTTCCCCCAGCAGGCAGGGGGCAAGGGAGCAGCCCTGGCTTTAGCGAGGTCTGGGAGACACCTGGGAACTGCTGGCCAAGGGGTTTTCTTGCCCAAGGGCCACACCAGCACTGCTGTTTGCACACAGAGCGATGCTGGGTTAACACCCAGGAGGTGCAGAGCAGCTGGACCTCCAAACGGCCCATGGGACTCCCAGGAGAGGGGGCTGTGAGCTCTGCAGCAGCCCAGCAATGTGCTGAGGCAGGACTGCAGGAGCTGGGAACACTTTCCTCCCGCAGCTCATGCAGGGCTCACCTGAGCTGCCGCCCGCAATCCTCTGCAGGTCGTAGGGGTTGTTGGTCCGACCGTAGACCCTGTTGCTGGACTCGTACCACATGCACAGCTCGCTGCAGTTGGTCACCCCCAGCGGGATGGCACCTGCCTGCTTCAGCCGGGACACCACGGTGGCGTCCGAGGTGGCAACCACGTTGCAGCGATTGACCAAGCCAGAGGTGTTGGGCATCCCTGTGGCACCAGGGTGGAGAGATGGAGGGACATGTCAGGGCTAAAATCAAACACAGGTGAGCCCAGGCAGACCGGGTGCTGACCGGTGAAAGAGGAGCTGCCTCCCCCCAGATGCCCACCACCCCAGGGAGCATGTGGCAAGTCACAGGCTGTGAAGCTGGGGAGAAGCAAGGACCAACCCACCGTGCAGCGAAAAGGCCTCTTTGACGGTGATGGGAACCCCTAACAAGGGGAACTTCTCCTCCAGGTACTCATCCCCAGGGCTCTCTGCCAGCAGCTTGTCGACCTGCTGGGCTTCCTGCAGGGCCTCCTCGAACCTGCGAAGGGGCAGCAGGGGAAGCTCCAGCGCTGCTCTCCAGGCGGGAGGGGCTGGCAGGGACCTGCAGAGCCTGGGATCCCCCAGCTCCTTCCGAGAG